GCCGGGATCCCCCGGGATGCTCCTGGCGGCTCCTGGGCTCCCTCTCCCCAGTTCCAGGAGCTCTTGGGATCCTCCTGGAGACCCCCAGGATCCCTCCTCCCATTGCCAGAGACTCTCGGGATGCTCCTGGACTCCTTCCACGGAGCTCCGGGAGCTTCCCAGATCCTCCCAGAGATTCCCAAGATCCCTCCTCCCATTGCCAGAGMCTCTCGGGATGCTCCCGGGCTCCTTCCACACAACACCAGGAGCTCCCCAGATCCTCCCRGMGATTCCCAGGATCCTTCCCCTGCTGCCGGGATCCCCCGGGATGCTCCTGGAGCCTCCTGGGCTCCTCTCCCCAGCACCAGGAGCTCCCGGGCTCCTCCTGGAGACCCCCAGGATCCCCCCCCGCCCCCGGAGCCCCTCGGCATCCCTCCCGCCCGTCATTCCCGGCGCCCTTTTCCCGGCAGATCGTCAAGGCGCTCTTCTACCTGAAGGAGAAGCACGGCGTGATCCACCGCGACGTGAAGCCCTCCAACATCCTGCTGGACGAGCGGGGCCAGATCAAGCTCTGCGACTTCGGCATCTCCGGCCGCCTCGTCGACTCCAAGGCCAAGACCCGGAGCGCCGGCTGCGCCGCCTACATGGCCGTGAGTGTCCCCCCCGCTCCGGTGGCTCCGGTGGCTCCGGTGGCTCCCGTGTCCCCCCCGGGGGCTGCCACGTGTCCCCCCCGCCGCAGCCCGAGCGCATCGACCCGCCCGATCCCACCAAGCCCGACTACGACATCCGTGCCGACGTGTGGAGCCTGGGGATCTCGCTGGTGAGGGACGCGTGTTGGGGACACGCGTGTCGGGGCGGGGGACACGCGTGTCGGGGCGGGGGACACGCGTGTCGGGCCATGGGGGGCTCTGGGGACACGTGTCAGGCTATGGGGACACGGCCACGTGCTCGTGCCCAAGCGTGTTGCAGCGAGCCTTGGCGTGGGGATGCGTGTCAGGGTGGGGGACACGCGTGTCGGGGCGGGGGACACGCGTGTCAAAGCGTGGGGGCTCTGGGGACACGTGTCAGGCCGTGGGGACGCGTGTTGGCCACGTGCTCGTGCCCAAGCGTGTTGCAGCGAGCCTTGGCGTGTCACTGGCGTGGGGACACGTGTGTTGGGGGACACGCGTGTCAAAGCGTGGGGGCTCTGGGGGCACGTGTCAGGCCGTGGGGACACGTGTTGGTCCCCTGCTCGTGCACAAGCGTGTTGCAGCGAGCCCTGGCGTGTCACTGGCGTGGGAATGCGTGTTGGGGTGCGTGAGACACGTGTCAGGGCGGGAACACACGTGTCAGGCCATGGGGACACATGTTGGCCCCCTGCTYGTGCCCAAGCGTGTTGCAGCGAGCCTTGGCGTGCGGTTGCGTGTCGGTTGTGTGACTCCGTGTCACTCCGTGTCTCGCTCCGTGTCGTTCTATGTTGTTGCGTGTCCTGCTCTGTGTTACCCTGTGCCGTGCTGCCGTGTCGCTCCGTGTTGCTCCGTGTCCCTCTGTGTCTCTCGCGCTGTCGCTCCGTGTGTCGCTCCGTGTCACTCCGTGTCTCACACGGTGCCTCTCCGTGTCCCTCCGTGCGCCCCCATGTCCCCGCCTGTCCTCCCGGGTGACGCGTGTCCCCCCGTGTCCCCCCACGTGTTCCTCCGTGTCCCCGCATGTCCCCCCTGTGTCCCCGCGGTGACGCGTGTCCCCTCGCGTGTCCTGTGTCCCCCCATGTCCCTGCGTGTCCCCCCACATGTCCCTGTGGTGAC